ATGAATGAATTTTTTGGTCCCTCTTACTCCCCTTTATTTTTATCTTTAAATTAGTCTCAAACTCAAAAAAGTGACTTTGGAGAATAACATTTATTCAAATAATCTAAATTGAATAAAAAACATTAGATTATGTTTTAATATATATTTTATATGACTGTGTTTTGGGGAATAACATTTATTTATTTTAAAAATATATTTCCTTCCTCTATTAAAATTACTTACACTTTTTCTAATTTTCCAGATCCCATGAAATTCTTTATACTTACTTTATTTCCTATTTAGGTAAAGAATATGTGTCTACAAACAATTCTCAATAATTTAAACAAATTTAGTTTTAACCACATATTCTGTATTTTTTACTCTCTTTTAACAACTCTCTTAAGATTTGTGACATCAAAGTGTCACCAATTTTATAGGACAGAAAGAGTACACTATTATTTTGTACTCATGTTTTTATTCAAATAAATCAGTCATCCAATCTTTTTAATAAGTTTTAATTACATTTTTAGTTTTTTTAAGATTTCAAATTAATTTATTTTTTTTGTTTCATTTTTACTTTCAATTTATTTTAAATTCATTTTTGTCTAATTTGAAAAAAGTAAACTAAACCCCGTAATACTCAGTATGTAATTTATATAATAGTGTATTTGTGTATATGTGATAATAATTATTTATTTAAATATGTATACAATTAATTTGCAGCCAGACAACTAAAAAAGTCAAATTAGTATAATTATTTACATTCAAATTTATTTAATCGCAATTTAAAATTTACATATGCATCAAAAATAGTAACATATAAGTTTGAAATACAATAATTCTGAAATACATGTAGTCAAAATTATAACATTACAAGTAAAAAATATGTAGTAAAAAATGTTATTTTAGCAACAGAATTAGAGCAACTGATTCGGCCGTTGCAATGGTTGAATAAGTTGTTGCGGATAGTTTGCAACAGAAAATCTGTAGCAAATATCTGTTGCAGATCATTCCCAGAAAAGGCGCCAACCTCTCGCCAAAATTGCAACAGATATTTATACTTTCCGTTGCAAAAAAATCTGTTGCGAAATAATTCTGTTGCAAACAAAAATTCCGTTGCAATTCTGCAACGGAAATTTGTCTGTTGTAATGTTTCCGTTGCAAATTTGATATTTTCTTGTAGTGCTAACGCATGTTTGTTTATAATTTTTTGAATAACTAAATTAAATAAAATATTTTTGTGACTGATTTTTTCATGTCATATTCAAGTGATTGTTGTTATATATTCTTTATAACTAAATCCCTTAGTATACATCATTACTTTGTTTTTTATGAAATAAGATTACATATTAAATTTTAAATGAGAGAGGAAAAATTTGGCGGAAAATTAAATGTTGTATGATTTTCTTATGCATAGTATAGTGTATTGTTGATATAGAATCATATGTAATTAAATGTTATAGAATTATATAGTATTAAATGTTATAAAATCATATATATATATATATATATATATATCAAATGTTATATATATTTTCTATGTATTTTTTAATAAGACATATATTATTTAAAATATTACATGTAATTTTTAACCAAGAATATAATAATTAGTCTGTAAGCCTATATATTGATTCGGCTTTTGGGGGATGGATTAATAACAACTAATATTATATTATAAATATCTCAATTGGGAACACGAATTAAAATTAACTTATTATGCATAATATTATCGTACCAACCTTTACCATTTTAGAAATTTCTTATTAAAAGATAATAATTTTTGTGACACAAATTTGTGTTTGTGTGTGTGTGGTTTGTAAGAATAGTCTGCCCCAATTCAAAATATATTAAATTTAAAACAGTTTAAGTCAAGTATTACAAATCAAAATGAGAACTTTATTTTAAAATTGAATATGGGAGACAACTTATATGAAAAGTATGAAAAATTTACAAGATCCAAATTGATACAAACTAAGGCCAAGTTCTCCTCAATTTATTCTTATTACTTATTACTTATTGTTATTGGAATCAGATCAGACAAGATTATATCAAAAATATTTTTAAATATAACTACAATATGATCATATCAAAGAAAACTAGATCAAATTACATTAGATCAGATCAGAACTTATTCCGATCAGATTGGAATAAATCAGTCGATCAGATTAGGGCCGACCCATGGCCTGGCAGCATGTTTAGAAATCATCCTAGATAGGACTAAAACATAGAGAAAAGTACCAAAATAGGACTTTCATATTTTTTTTCCCGGAATCGGACTTTGCATTGTGGTAATGTGACTTTGCATTGTGGTAATGTGGCAGTGTACATGTGCAAATTACTATACTTTCTTGGTAATGTATATGACCATGTATGGTAATGTAAGTTCTATTTCGGGAATAAAAACATGGAAGTCCTATTTTGGTATATTTTCAATGTTTTAGTCCTATTTTAGTTTTTCTCCCCAGCATGTTCAATTGCAAAGGGCCCAATAAAGCAAAGGGTCCAATTTGTTTTAGATAGCCTCCTTAATTGGTGTTTGGTTATTCCCAATCTTCCATCGACAAGGTGCTAGTATTTTGTTAATTTCTAACACTCCGTCAAACTAATTCCCATCCATTTTATTCTAAAGCAATGCTAGGAGTACACCAAAAGATGTATCTCAAATGTACATTACTCATTTTCTACCATATATTTTTATTTTATTTTTATTTACTTATTTTTTTAAAATCTTTTTGCTTTTTTTAGTGGACAAGGAGGGGATGGGGGATATATGGGGTACACCTTTGGTGTACCCCTAGCATTTTTCTTTATTCTATCTTGGGATTTCTTCTTTAGAATCTTATTCACTTTGTTTAGTTTTGTTTAGTTGCTATTTTTTTCTTTTTTTTATCGAATGAAAAAAAAGGCAAAATTGTAAATTGTTTATTAATTGCATTGCGGAGTACAAAACAATACGAACCTTTTCATTTTAAATAGAAATTACGGGGTATGTACTCTTTTCTTTTAAAGAAATAATCCCTAACTCAATCCATTTAGAATCAAAATATATAAAAATGATGTTTTTATGTAAACTTTTACTCCATGTTCAAATTTTTTATTTTACATTTTTATTATACAAAGTACTTTGTACTACCGTATATAATTACGGGGTAATATTTATTTCATCCAGGATCTTTCATATAGTTTGAATTTTTTGAGTCAAATTAGGCAAATTTTAATCATCATTAATATAAATATTATACTCCCTATTGGATGTAGAAATGAAAACAAAGTAATTTTTCAGTTTGACTTTTACAGTCAAACTTTTAAAACTTTGACCGTATATTACGGAAAAAATATATTAAATTTCATATAAATCTATTATCAATAGATTCATTTTGAAACATAGTTTTGAAATATGTTATTTTTGTAATATATTCCCTCCGTCCCAAATTATAGTGCATGTTCACTAATCACAGGGACAAATTCATTCACTTTCTTTCTCTATCTTCGTTAGCAATTTGATAAAATAAAGTAGTATTGTCACTATTAGTTTTGTAGATCTTTTGATGTAGTATTTTAATATGTAATTTTTATTTTTTAACTCTATACCATTTGTCATATAAAATGATTTGAAAATAATTTCAGTCAAACATTGTAAACCGAAATAGGCGTTATAAAATAGGACGGAGGGAGTATATTCATATGAAAACGGAGATATTAATGGTCAAAGTGTCGCATTGAAGACCGTGAAAAGTCAAATGGAAAGTTGATTTTAGGACTGAGGGAGTAGAAAACTTTTGAAAATTTATTTCATTGTATTAATATATGATACAAATTTAATGTAATTTGTTTGGTCTAATTCATTAATAAATCAAAGTAAACAAATACTCCGGTACTATGATACAAAAAGGAATATGCTCAGTAACATTTATTTTTAATTTTGTAAATATGAAAGTCATATAGGGCCATAACTTTTAAATTTGTACAAGACCCTTATTTACTTCAGACCAGCCCTGGATCAGATCAAATGAAGAGAACATGGCCTAACTGCAATAGGCTCATTGTCCCCCATAAAATAATTACAAAGTTTCTGGTTGCATTCCAATATTCCTAACTAAAAAAGACACACTCATCTGAATATTTTCTGTAAAGATCCATCTTATACATTCCCTATAACACATCAAGCTATGGACACATATTCATCATCTTCCCTCCCCATAATCCTCTCACTCCTTGAATATCTGAGGAGTGGCGAAGCGTCACGCTCGCTTCCTCTGTTCATCTTCCCATCACCCGCCACTTGGCGGTGGCGCAGCAGGATTTGGAGGGCCTCTTTCATAGTAGGCCTTGCAGAAGGAAATGTGGCGGTGCAGAAGACCCCGAGTTTGAACACGTCCTCCATTTCCTTCATGTACTGCGGCTTCTTGACATCTGCATCCACCGCGTCGGCTATGGGTTTTCCTCCTTGGACGTGTTGCCATGCCCAATCTGCCAGGCATAGCTCCTCCGAGCCGTCATTGGGCTCCCTTCCCGTGGCGAGCTCCAGGAGGATCACGCCGAAGCTATACACGTCAATCTTCTCATTCACTTTGCTTTTTTGTGCGTACTCTGAAAATTCACGAGGAAACTAATGATCACAAGCTTGTGGTTGTAGATCGCGAAAAGATCTTGTGTTAAAAAATCTACCTAAATAAGACCGAAACATGGAACTTATACCAAAATGAGACGTCTTATGTTTATATCCCCTATATTGGAGTGTTGGCACTGTGTGTTGGCATTTTATAATAAAAAAAATTAGCATTATTTGGCATTATAAGTCATATTTTGGTATAAGAATATTGAATGTCTTATTTTGGTATATGGAACATGTTTTAGTCCTAGTTAGGTATTTCTCCTTTGTATTCTTAAACGCCCAGTGAAACCTTAATTTTTTTAAAACTGTGTTGTGTAGTTGGGCAGTGAGTTTTGAACTCGTGACTTTTTGGTGAACAAGACTCTGATACCATGTGAAGAAACTTAAAATTCAAGCTTATGGTTATAGGCCGAGAAAATGTTTTTATATTCTAACAACTTCAAAGATGATCAAGGAGACTCACCAGGAGCAATGTAGCCAAAAGAACCAACGACTGTTGAGACCGTGTTAGGTTCGCCGTGCTTGATCAACATTCTTGCGAGTCCAAAATCTGCGATTTTAGCATTGAACTCGGAGTCCAGGAGCACATTGCTGGTTTTCACGTCTCTGTGAAGAATGGGAGGAGAGCAGTTGTGATGCAAGTAGCAGAGCCCCTGGGCAACTCCAATGGCAATGTGCAGCCTGGTGGGCCATTGCAGGACTCGGTGGTGAGGCAAACCCGACGGTCTTCTCTTTGCGTGGAGCCATAGATCCAAGCTTCGATTCTCCATGTACTCGTACACAAGAAGCTTGGATTCTTCGCTGGAGATCCCACACAGGAGCTTCACTATGTTGTAGTGGCGAATCGTTCCAAGAATCTTCACTTCTGCTTCAAACTCCTTCTCCAGCTTTTGATCCATCTTCTGGGCATTCCAAATCCTCTTGACAGCAACTTTTTCGCCAGCCCGGTGCAAGTCTACTAGGTAAACTTCCCCTGAAGCCCCGCTGCCTATGGCATTGTTTTCTGTCAAATTCGACAGAATGTATGATTCATTGAAGCTCAGTTTGTGGAAGGGTGTGAGTTTCCAATTCGGCGCCACTATCCTTTCCTTTCTCTTCTTATTCTTTCGCAAAACTAACAGAATCGAGAGAATGGCTGCCAGGAATAAGGCTGCAGCAATGCTTCCAAGAATGGCTATGACTCTTATGGATTCCCCGTCTGGTTTTTTGGTTTTTGGCTTGCAAATTCTGAGGCCAAATGAAGGTTGGGTTGAACAAAGGTCGGCGTTATTCAAGAAGCTCTTGTCAAAAGCTGCATTTTCAAGCTGGCCTGGGATTCTCCCAGAGAGGAGATTTGAAGACAGGTTGAGTGAGGTCAGCCTCAACTGCCCTATTTCGGGTGGGATTTGCCCGGATAGTTCGTTCTCGGACAGGTCCAAGTCATTCAGGTTTAGCAGAAGACCAAGTGCTGAAGGGATTTCGCCAGAAAGCTGGTTCCTGTTGCATTTCAGGGAGGTTAGCGACTTCCACGAGACGATTTTCTGTGGGAGGCTCCCAGAAAGCTGATTCCCATCAAGCCAGAGAACCGATAACTGGGGCAGAACGGTCAATTCTTGTGGGATTTCGCCTGTCAAGAGATTGTTTCCTGCCTTGAAGTTAACCAGATTGGTCCAAGAAGAAACCCCTGCAGGGATTTCGCCTGAAAATCGGTTTCCGCTTATTTCCACTTGAGATAAACTTGACCCAGCCTTCTGTGGAAGCTCACCGGTGAACAAGTTGTCATTAACAAATAACTTTGACAGATTTCTACCAGTCCATAACCCATCTGGAATTCTCCCAGAAAGTCTATTCTTTTCCACTCTCAAAACGAAGAGAGAATCACAATCCCCAAGAGACTTTGGGATCTCACCTGTGAGATTGTTGTCAAAAGCAATCAAGCTTGACAACACCTTGTTATCACACAGCCCCTCTGGCAAAGAACCCTCAAGATTGTTTGTGGAAACATCAAAAGTTTGCAACTTTGAGAACTTACCAAAATCTGGTGGGATTCGACCCGACAAACCGTTGGCGAACAGCCTGACATCTCGCAACCCGGGCAACTGACCGATGCTGCCCGGAATCTCGCCCGACAACTGATTCTGGAAGAGGACCAACACCTCCAGCTTCGTCAGCCTCCCGAAATCTTTGGGTATTCGACCTGTCAAGCTGTTATTGGACAAATCAATGGAGTTCAAATTCAAGGCCTCAATGGAAGCAGGAATAGGGCCTCTCAATCTGTTGGCTGTGAGGTAAATGTTGGTCAAGTTCTTTAACAGAAACATGTCAAGTGGAATGTGTCCACTCAAGCTATTCCTGGACGAATCCAAGAACTCCATGGCTGTCATGTTGCTGATCTTCTCCGGGATTTCTCCGACCAAATTGGCATTTCTGACCCAGAGAATCCTCAGGTTCTTCAAGTTCGTGATGCTCGGAGGGATTTCCTGAGGTGAAAATAGGTTGTCGTTCAAATCAAGAACTTCAAGATTCAAAAGCTCCCCGATTTCCGGAGGGAGGGACCCGCTGTTGAAGGACATGGCAAGGTGAAGCTCTCTTAGCTCCTTGAGCCCTCCGATGGAGGGTGGGATGCCGTCGATGAAGGAGTTGGCGGAGAGGTTGAGGGTCCTCAGGCGGGAGGAGAGGCGACCGAAGTCGCCGGAGATGGAGCCGTTGAAGCCGTTGTAGGACAAATCCAAGAACTCAAGATTCGAGCATTTGTACAGTGATGCCGGAAAACCCCCGGGGATTAGGTTGTGGTTGAGATCAAGAGCTGTGAGGTTTTCCAGGTTGCAGATGGACGGTGGGATTGTCTGGTTGAGCATGAGGTAGACTAGCCGGAGGCCGGTGACAGAGCCGCCGGAGCAGGTGATCTCCGGCCAGCTACAGTGGTCCCTTGACTGAGTAGTCCAGTGGGAAAGACTTGATGGGTCGGAAAAATGGCGCTTTATATCTAGTAAAATGGACCTTTCTTGGCTGGCGCCGCCATTAATGGGCTGGGAATTTCCTTGAAAGGGCAAAGCAGAGAGAATGGGGATGAGGATGAGGAGGAGAAATGGTGGGGTTAGTTTGGACATTTTGGGGTTAAAACAGAAAAGGAAGAAGGAGAAGAAGAAGATTGGGTCTTGAAATGGAGGGATGGAACATTGGTTTGGAAATTGTGGGAGAAATGTAAAGAGGAATGAGCAGGTTTTGAAAATGGCGGAATGGGAAGATAAAGTCCAGAGGAGTACTTTTCTGATTTGGAAAGGGAGATGCTAAACAAAACTTTTCAACGTCGACAATAGTTCACGAGTGTCACGGCTCACGGTATTACTATATTGGAAATATACGAGAAACAATCTCAATAGTATTTTAGTTGTTTGTCCTTTCCATCAAAAAAATTTAAGAAAAAAAAACAATAATCCTCCATTCCTTTTAAATCTTTCTAATTTGACTTTTAGGGTCATTTTTTTATTTTGATATAAGTTATAAAAAAATACACTAAATTATGAATTTATAGTATTCCTTTCGTTCCAAATTAAATTACTTCTTTATTATTCATATGATTAAATTTCATTCACTTTTTTTCTACTTTCGTTAGTCATTTGATAAAATAATATTGTTATGTTCACCACTAGTTTTGAATATTTTATGATGTATTACGGTAGTTTTTAAATATATAATTTTTATTTTTTTAATTCTACCCAATTTTTTATTTAAATTAATTTGAAAATAACTTTAGCCAAACATTGTAAACCGAAATAGGCGATTTAAATTTAGACAGAGAGAATATAAGTTTAGTATTTAATAAATTCATTTTGAAATATAAGTTTGAAATATTATACTTTTTCAATGTATATCTATCTATAAATATAAAAATTGATGGTCAAAATGTTGCATTAAATACCTTAAAAAATCAAATTAGAAAATTTAAGAAGAGAGGGATTACAACATCTTGAAACTTATATACTTCGTATTTCTTTTGTCATGGAACTACAATCACACTTTGATAGGGGGAGGATGTTGTCACTAACAATTTGAGATCTTCAAAGAATCTCTATCATACCATTAATAAAGAATAAATTATACCTAAGCTAGGCTCACAGTCAGGAATAATGATCGGTCATGTTCACTCCCTTTATCATTCTGAGAGAGCTTTATGAAATGAGGACTACTCCTCCACAAGCTTACCCAACCAATTTCCATAGGCAAGGTTACTGATAAAAGAGTTTAGCAGTAGTCAACCTTCTCAAAAGAATGTCAGTTTTATCTAAATGTCGTCTCTCGAAGAATGGACGAAGAAAATTAACTAACTTTTCAAATTACTCATTCATAGGTACGACCAAGACTACTGTTCGTTGAACAAAGTTCAACTCATTTAGTTGCAAGAGTGTAACGATTCGTTGAACATAGTTCAACTCATAATCGTTGGACAAAAAAATTAACTAATTTTTCAATAAATTACTCACTTAGAGGTACGTACGAAGAAGGTTACCGCTCGTTGAACATAGTTTAACTCATTTAGTCGCTAGATTATAATGTTTCGTGGAACATAGTTCAACTCATAGTTCAACGAGCGTTGCTAGAGATTCATTTCACATAGTAGAGGTATAGGTTTAGACTTCAGTCCAAAGCATCATCTGGATTAACTACTTTTATCGCATTTTTATTTTAATATTTAGAGTAATAAAATTTCTATCACAAATTTTTCATAAACTTATCCTATTTTTAGGCATCATTACTGTGTTTTAAAAATTTGACTTCATAAATTTTATATTTCCATAGACAACGTAAAAAATATTAACATTAGAATTCACTCTAGAATAATTATTCTAACTAGCTATTAAATAAACATAAGACTATATGTCAAAATTTAGCCCGGGCCCTCTTAACTCATATTATATACTAACACTGCATGAAAAAAAGAACATTTTACTAAAGTTATAAATATTAAAACTTACAATTCGGAATAGATCCAAAACCACTTTGGGACAACCGAACTAAATCTATTCTAAAATAGTACGGAGTGAAATATAACTAAGAAAAGAACAAATTTTAAAATCTGCTAATATCGTTGTATCAGAGCTAAGGTTCTCTAAATCTTACACGCTTCTTTAAGACCGAGCACATCGCTGGTCTTTGTTTACAGCGATCAATCGTCTAACAACATAGCATCACCGACCAATCTCGGCGAGCGTGTCTAACAGCTGCCGTCCATTATCCCTCTTTCTCTCTAGAAAAAATCATTATCAATCTTTCTCTCTCTTCCAAAAAACATTATGTGCTTGGTCAAAAAACAGAAAAATTACATTAGTCTGTGTTTTTTAGAGATCGAAAGCATGGAAAGCGGCAGATAAGCAGAGAACGACCCCACAAGAAGAAAAAAAGAAACTTCTCGCCCTCATTCCATTCGTCAACAATCTCACCAAGAAAAACTCAGCAAACATAATTTCAAGCTTGTTCGTCATGCAATAAAGCTTCAACACTCTACTTCTAGAGATTATCCCTACCCGCTCAGTTCTAGTACATGTGCTCCAAGCTACTCCTTGTTACCGATGATCAGCTTGCTAGGAGATATTAGGAATATTAGATAATAGGAAATAAATATTATATTTAATTCCCTTACTTATTTATTGTTTCATAATTGTTTTGTTACTATAGCTCTTCTCATGGTATAATTAGATCGAACCCCTCTTGTACTCTCTATAAATAGGGATATATTTTTCAATGTTCAATAAGATCAATTATTATCTAATTGTATAATGAGATATTGGAATAATAATATTATTCATTGAATTATGGAGTACATGGTAGAGAATTAATAGGATAGACTTCTAACACCACTAGAAATAAAGAATAGAAGCTAACTAAAATACAACATTTACTCCCTCTGTCCCAAAACCATCATTCCTTTTGTGTTTAGGAGGTCTAGCCGACTCTATTTTCAATTTAATTTATTTGATTGTAGGTGTAAAATTAAAAAATAAAATTTACATATTTAAAAAGTATATTAAAAGTTCTACAAAATGAGAGGTGACAAAATGATATTATTTTATTAAATAACTAGCGAAAATAAGTAAGGGAAATAATTTAAATTTAATCGTATGAATAATAACTAGGAAGATACTTTTAGAAGGAAGAAATATCATAAAAAGGAATACTTACTACTCCGTACGTAGGATTACTTTCTAACCGCCGTGAATTTTAAAATCTAAAAGAGGAGTGCAACTTTTTTTGAAGGAAAAAGAAAAATCAAAATTCCTAATAAAAGTCAAACGTTTTGACAACAAGTGGTTAATAACGCAATTGCAGCACATGTCTTTGAACCGCCTATGTGGAAAAACTACTTTTAAGAAGCCGAAATTGACCTTGCTTGACGGCTTTGACTTCTGAACATTATGATTTGAGGGATGCGATACCAGCAGAATCGGGCCATAACCGCGTTCGCTCGTATCTGCCACGGTGGTCCCATTTATTTATATACTCCCTTCATCCCAAATTATTTGTCACATTTGCTTTTTCAACAATTGCGGGAACATTTGTTTATTTCTACGTTTTCATTGGTTATTTAATAAAATAAAATATTCTTGACACCTCTTATTTCGAAGAACTTTTCATGTAGTTGTTTGATATGTAAATTTTATTTTTTTATTTCTTTATCGATATGTAAATAAAATGAATTAAAAAAACTTGATATCTCGCCTTAGTAATAGAAATGTGACAAATAATTTGGGACGATTGGAGTATAAAATATATGTATATGTATTTATTTATTTAATAAACTCTAAAAAAGGAACACTAACGTCGAAAGATTAAAAATTAGATTGCATTGTATTTAGAATTTATTTGATTTAAGATTACTAATATAATTTTGTGTATGGATTTGATTATTATTTGAAGTTATGAATTTGACATTTTACTATTTTTATTACTATCATGCTCTCAAGAATGCTACAAGAACTTCACAAATTCTAAGTTGGCTATCAAAGTATGCACTTATAAATTTATAAGACTATGAATTTCACATTTTATTATTTTTATTCTTTTAATATTATTTATTGTTAAATAATTAATTCATAAATTTTATTTCATTATGACACAATAACATTTTTTTCTGTATCGTCTAAGGCCCCTAATTTCTCGGAGACGGCTAATATCATTACAAAACCTATGAAGGATCTTTTCTCATTATGATCAAAAAGTATAACTGTTCGACCAAAATATTTAAAATATGAAAGATTTTTATGACGGGATGGAATGGTATTTACCATTTCGGTTAGGTTCTATGGTCCCTCCTGGATGTAGTAATAAATTACAAAAATAGGGTAGAACAATGCACTCTTCTCTAAATAGGATCACTCCTAACAACACCAACGTTTAGTATCACAAAAAGACCAAAATAGCCTTAGCATACACATTAAACAACTCTCACACGGGCCACTAGGGGCAAGCAAGTACCGAACCGATACAGAAAATTCCCAAAAAATTGAGAAAATCAAACCGAAAAATAACGAACCGAAAAAATACCGTTAAAATACCAAATCGTACCGAACCGAATGTTTGGTTCGATATTTGGGAACAATACGAGGTAACTTTCCATACCGAAAATTCCAAACCTGATATATATACTAATATATTATAAATACAATAATCTTTTTATATTTTTTCATTGAATAATAAGTTTATTTTTGAAATTTGGCTCAAATTTTATTATGTGTACATTGTACTTTTATTTGAGTTTTAATTTTTCTAGAAGAATTTTAAAATAGTAACGCACATTTGAAATATCATTTTGTTATCATTCGTTCACTGTAGTTTGTGAGATATAAACTAAGTTTAATAAACATTTCTTACATTTAATTTTTATTTTTTTTGTTTTTTACGTTTTTGTTTAAATATACTTTCGATTTATTAAAAAAAATATTCTTGTGGCATTTTAAAGTTCAAATTAGGTGTGTATGTTTTGATCCCAATTTATATCGAAACGGATATCGATCCATACCGAATCGAAATTTCAGGATCAGTACGACGTAAAATCTCATACTGAACCAAAATACTCCGTATTTGGTACGATAAGAATTAAATATTGTACCATATCATACCATGCTCACCCTTACGGGTCACAACTCCATAGAATAAAAGGCAAGAAAAAATCAATGGTTCACTTGTCATACAAAACTATACTCTTCTAAAACGGCATTGCAACTCTATTAATATTGAGCCTCCAAAAAAAAATTTAGGTTTCGTATAAATGGTACTCCGTATTAGGGGTGAGCAAGGACCGAACCGATCCCAATATTTCCCGAAAAAATCGAGAATACCGAACCGAAAAATACCGAACCGATAAAGTACCGAAAAGAAATCGAACCGTACCGAACCGAACGGTCGGTCCGGTATTTGGGAACGGTACGAGGTTACTTCCCATACCGAAATTCCCGAACCGAACATATATACTAATATATTACTCCGTATAAAAATAACTAGCATCACTCCCGTGCGTTGCATGGTCATACTTATATTACTAAATTAAAATCATTTTTAAAGATTACAATTTCTTATTTAATACTCCCTCCGTCTCTAAAACATCTTCCCCTTTCATTTTTTCTTTGTCCTACAAACTTCTTCCTTTTTCTATTAAAAAACTACTTTTATCACTTACTTTTTTATACCTTATCTATCACATCATACCTTTTTACTAATAATCTATCTATCGCATCTTACTTTTATCAATCACATCAAGGGTATTTTTGGAAAGTCAACACCAAAATATCCATCCCTTAATTTTCCAAAAAGTCAATAAGGGAACTTCTTTCGGGACGGAGGGAGTAGAATATAAATATTTTATTATTTTATGGTACAAAAGTTAATTGTTTTACAAATAACGAAAGACTTCTTTATAAATTACATTACTCGTATAATTCTTATATATCAAACTTTTAAAACATTTATTTATTTAAAGACTTCTTCATGATTTTCTACTCCGGAAGCATGAATCTTATTTAAGAATTCAAGAGAGTGTAAGTCATTCAAAAAATTTTAAAGAGGCTATTTACGAAAAGTGATTGAGAATGATTGTATTTAAAGTATGAAAAAATTAAAGTATTTTTCTATTTCCATGCATCTAATTTTGCCGGGTAAGTTATTAATTAGTGATTGATTGTTCAACATATAAAGGTATATATTATTCAATACGTTTCCATGTATTAAAGGCACACCTCTTAAAACGATGTCTCCATAAAACGTTTGGGCCTGGATCTCTAAATAGAAACATTATTATTAAATTGAAAGCTTATTTGGTTAGAATTATTACACGATAATAATAACTAAGTACGCTAATATTATTACACGGTATATTATTATTATTATTCTTTCACGATAATAAATTAATAATGATTAAATACATTAATATTATTGCACGGTATATTAGTATTATTATTTTTTCTACACGGTAATACATGATTTATTCTTGCTACAAAGTAATTTATGATTTAATTATTATTTCTATATCCAACACTTAACATATGTGCCACCATTTCTATGTATTACTTTGACATTTTTTTATATTTAATTTATTTTTTTTTGATTTTTTATAATTGTGCCTTCCTTAAATGCATAAACTTATATATTTAAATTTCTTCATAAAATATTTGGCACCGAATCTCTAAATGGAAACATAATTAAATTGAAAGCTTATTTTCTTAACATAATCACACCAAAATAAATTAATAATGATTAAATATGGTAATATTAAGTTTGGACATGTTCTCTAAATGGAAACATTTTTAAATTGAAAGCTTCTTAGATTAGAATTATTAGACGATAATAATGACTAAATACCGTAATTTTATTACACAGTATATTATTATCATTTTGCTTACATGGTAATAAATTAATAATGATTAAATACGGTAATATTATTACACGATATATTAATATTATTATTCTTGTTACACGGTAATACATGATCTATTCTTATTACACGGTGATTTATGATTTAATTATCATTTATTTATTCAACACTTACTATATGTACCACCATTTCTATGTATTACTGTGACATTTCTTTTATATTTTATCATTCTAAATAAGAATAGAGTAATTAAGTAATTATGCATGCGAAATTATTCTAAAAAAGAAACAACGTTGATCTTGTTTGCGAAATTAGTCCCTTTCTTTTTTATCAGAATTAAGTAATTATGCATGCGAAATTTCTTTTAATTTATCATTCTATTATTCTTAAAAGTATTTCCTTTTAAGAATAGAGTGATTAAGTAAATAATTACCTATTTAATTAGGCATAAATAATTACTTTTTGATAAAATAATCAGGCATAAATTATTCCAAGTAATTATAATAATAATAGTAATAATTAGGCGCAAATAATTACCTATTTAAAAAGGAAACAAAATAGAAAAAATCTACTGCACCGTCCATTCTTTTTTATCACAATCAAGTAATTATGTGAAATTGGTTAGGAAACAATCTACTTCTTTCCTTTTTGATCAGAATAGAGTGATTATGCATGCAAAATTTCCTTTAATTTATCATTCTAAATAGGTAATATTACACAACCAATTATAGCCGTAGGTCTTGTTTGTTCCTTAATATCGATGGTGCATGAGATGAGTGCATTGGGCGGGAAAATAATTCCCCTGCTTTTAAGAATAGAGTGATAATCTTTTTATATTTCTTCATTAAATAAAAAATTTATATAGACAATTTACTTTAATTTCACTATGTTTAAGTTGCACTTTAATAAAAGTTTTTTATTTTTTGTAGATGAGTATAAGAATATTAAAAAATATTTGAAATAATACTTTATTATCACTCGTTCTCCTTAGTATGTGAAATATAAAATAACTTTCATAAGCATTACTTGTATTTTATTTTTTCATTTTTAATTTTTTTTATCTTTCTTTGGTTAAATGTGCTTTTAATTTCCCAAAAATAAAAGGTTTTGTTACATTTTATGATGTAAACTAAGTACGTATATATTCATCCCGATTTGTACCGAAACTGATACTGAACCATCCCGAACCATACCGAAGCGATGCTTCAGGAACGGGATCGGTACATCGTAAAATCCCATACCGAACCGAAATATTTGGTACGGTATCGGTACGAGCGAAATACCGTACCATGCTCACCCCTACTCCGTATAATTTAGTCTCATGCACTTAGAGGCTAAAGTATTTATCCAATTTTGACTCGTTTGAGTCAACTAGAATCAACTCTTAACTTATAATTAAATTAAAATTATATACTCCGGTAGTATATTAATTAGATAAAACCATATTTTGAAAATATTTTATCAGGGGAATCTAATAAAATAATTCTTGTATCAATATCTAAAAGTAATTTTTTTCTTAATTTATGATCAAAATTTGTTAATTTTTCTTGTAAAAAGTCAAAACTAGACAAATGTTCCAGAACAGAGTTAGCATATCATGTTGAACTTCATTGTCGTCGGAGAATTTTCGTTTTTGCCTTAGCCGAACAAAAGCTATACATCGACTTCTAGGTCTAAAGCGAATGATGACAATAGCGTCGATGAAAAGCCACCCAACACCTCTGATAAAATTGTATAATCCCTAGATTTGAAGTATCCTAAATTATTGTTTAATTTCAATTGTTGGTAGCTAGGGAGAGAAGAGAAGCCATGGTGAATTGTTTTTGTAGATTTCAATCACGCATCCTATGTGTTTGCGAAATTGCTTATGAAATTGTTGATTAATTTCAAGTGTAGGCATTATTGTGTATGAGTAATGGTGGAAAGACAGTGAAATAATGATGCTTGAATTTAGGGCATTATGTTGTAGAAGAATACCATAAAGACATTTTTGGGGTAAATCATGTGAAAGACATTGGCCCCGTTTGGTAATAACGTTAGAGATTAACGTTTGGTTTTTTAAAAGGCTATTTGACGGTAGGGCTGGACACGGTACCGGTACGGTACCGCTACCGGCAACGGTACCAACGGTACCATCTACCGTCACCGTCGCACGGCACGTCCCACCGGTGCCGGGAACCGGTACCGGTACCCAAATTTTTGTCCCGGAACCGCCGGTACCGGTACGGTCGGTACCGGTACTGTTACTTTTTTTTTCCTGCACCTGCAACAGATCGGCCAACCACCTGCAAAAAAA